GGAAGGGCTTGACAGTTCTTCTGAGAGCTAGTGCATTTTAGGGGATGGGTGGGTGGGGATTGGATCAAAAGATAGCATATTTCTATTTCATGTACACCCACAGAGTTTCTATACTGGAAAAAAAGAGGATTGTATACCACTCCCCTTTTATACCACTCAAATGTCCCTGATAGAGACTCAGTCAAATTCTAGCCAATTTGATTTCTGCTGGTTCTTTTTATGGAACACAATATTTAATACTTTTCTCTAATCCTATTAATGTAGATTGTTCAGTTTGTTTCTGGTGGGGGTTCCATTTACAAAGGAACCTGTGTAGGTCAATGCCAAATAGAATCATTCCCTTTCCAAAAATACAGAACTTTTCTTTTTGTTCTTTCCTCATTCAAGTAGGATTTGTGTTACCGATGATGACAAATAAGACCTAATTGCCAGTTGGTTGGACTATTGCAATGTGCTTAACTGGGGGTATCTTCGCAGATGATTCAGAAGCTGCAGCTGGTAAAAAAAACATGGGGATAGATTGCTGCTGGCACAATCCCACCAGCATAGAATAATACTAACACTTTTCAGGCTGCTGCATTGATTACCAGTAGGCCCAATTCAAACTGCTGACCATTACCTTGAAAGCTCTTTACAGCATAGCACTAGAACACAACAAGCAATGCCTTGTCAGGATTGAATTTGTCCAGAATGATAATATAGAACAGGCTTGTTGGAGGTACCTTCTTTGAGAGGTAAGTTGGGAGTAAAGCAGATGGCAGGCCTTCTCAGTGGCCCTCCTACTCTTTGGAACAGCCTTATCCCAGCACTCCATTGGCCACAATCTTTGCAATACACAAGCACCTAAAGTCATATTTTTCCTATGGATCTTTGCCCCTGATTATTTCTAAGGGGTAATCATAGAATTTTGAATACCGTTTAATATTAACACAATGGGGTGGCTGCTGGCTGCATGTGACCCTGGACAGCTAGTAAAATGGCCCAATAAGATTGTAATAATAAAAATATTTTTAAAAGGAAGTTTGTTATTTATATACATTTAACTATATATTTTATTTGAAGCCCAAGACAATTCCTCTTCAATCAATGTGACCCAAGCAAGCCAAAACTAGAGTCTGCAGGGCATTTCAGCCTTGCTGGTACTCTATTTCACGTGTGTAGTCGTGCATCCTACATTTTTTCTGCACCTGCAACTTTCCTCGCTGGGAATTAACAGCCCAGCCTGATCTTGCAATCTTGGTAGTTCACTTCTATTTTAGGTACAAAGGGCGCTCACCTCTGACTTGAGATTTAGAGTAATTGGTTAATACAGCAAATGTTTTCTTGCAATTTTGGAAAGATTCAATAGTTCCAGTTCCTTGATTCCTATCAATATCTTTGGTTGCATCTATGCCACAAATGGTTAGAAAAGTTTTCTATGTCTGCACCTGTACGAGTGCAAATATTCAAGAAAGTTCTATTCACAATGGATCCAACTCATTGTAAGAAAGTAATCAAATACTCTGTTTTTGTTTTGTTTTTTGATGGAAGGTTATCTGCAACGAGATACATCATAAGTAGGCAGGCTCTTTGTGGCATATGTTTTGCAAAACACAACATAATACCCAAGTGTTGATTAGGTAGCCCCCCAAAATAGTTGAGTGATTCAAGTTTGAACATTGTAAATTCATTAGTGGCATAGCTTTAACAGTAATGCACAAGGCGTTTTCTATGAATTAGCTGCAATACCGATTAGTTTTTTTTAAATATAAACTTAGCATCCTTTTCATATTTTAGCTTATATTGACCTTTTACTTTTTTGAAACCAACTCTTCAGCTCTGGCCTAGTCAACTTCTTCATGTATGATTTTGATCTCAAATCCTCATCTGAGGTGTTTGTGCAGCTCCATCATTTTCTTCTGTCATCCACTTTTTTCTCAATGGGATTATTTGTCATTAATATCTCTTTAAGAACTCTTATTATTCTTAAACTTATTTTCTCTTTATCTTCTTGTCACTGCTTTGTATCATTAATATTTATGGCTAACTCCAAACTAAGAGTCACATTTGTGATATGTGTGGCTATATAAATTGATTTTAATAAATACAAAGGCTTAGCCACTTTTTTCTCTCTTAAAATCAAGTACCTCAGTATTACAGTCACTCTCTCTAAAGTTCTTACATTTTACTTTCTAAAGTAAATCTTTATTAAACAGTAATAGAACAAAGACAACTGATTCTCTTAGCATTCCTCCACTCTTTGTATGATAAAGTTGTCATTAGGACATGTCAGGAATTTTTTGAAAGAGCCATGTTTGACTTTCTCATCTGCCAACCAGCGGTACAGCAATTATTTCATGTCTCTCTGAAAGATCTGCAATTTGCTTTTACAAAGCCATCAAATCTGAGTAATCTTTATCCCTTATAGGATTTGATTTATAGCACACTGAATCTAAGTAATGATGAACCTCACTAGCCTACTTCACAAAAAGGTGATGGAAGATATCTGCAAAGAACAAAAGTAACAGCAGATGACATGATCTGTGGACATAATCTATATAAATTAAGAGCATGAATACAAACTGCTCCTTCCTAGATTGATATAGGGTAATCTACTAGAACAATTTAAAACAGTGGAGAAATCAAGCAACACCTATTTATTTGCATTCTTAGCATATTGCCTGTCAGTTCCATAAGGTAGACCAGGCTTGAAAATCAACTCCACAGGAAGATTAGAACTAGTTTATTGGTAGGCTATAGTAACAAATCTCCTAAATTGGATATGTTTTTTTCCTCTTCCCTCTTCACCCCAGTGAATCAGGGAGGGGCTAACCTGAGTCTTTTAATATTATCTCTGTTTTCAGGGAATGCCTTTGTCCATTTTGCTTATGTAATAGTTTCTGAATATTTATTTGAAAGCTACCTCAAATAATGAAGAATGCATGTTAACCTGATGGCAGAATGTTGGCATTTACACAAGCCTTCCACTGCTACGGGAAATGGCACAAATTATCAGGTCCTCACATTTCTTTTCCTGGATCTGATCTTTAAAAAGAAAATCTTGCAAACTTATATTAAGAGCTACCAGTTACAAATCAGAAATTCACAGGAAATTTTAGTTAGAATCCTGTAATGCCTAAGCTTTTTTATTTGGATATATCATTTCATACAGGTCTGGAGATTAAATACTGTGCTATATTCAATAGTGGAGAAACTATAGTTTTCTCATAACAAATATATCCCCCCCCCCCGAGAATGCACAGGTTTTAGATTTACTCCATTCTGTTTTTTCTGAGGTTTTCGCGGGTATTTGTATGTAGGTCTTTGTTGTTCGGGTTTTCTCCCGCGTAAAATTGGAAGTGTCTTGGCGACGTTTCGACGAAGTCCCATTCGTCATCTTCAGGCTGGTGTTTTCAGCTTCGTGCTTTGAGCAGCAATGTTTGCTGCTCAAAGCACGAAGCTGAAAACACCAGCCTGAAGATGACGAATGGGACTTCGTCGAAACGTCGCCAAGACACTTCCAATTTTACGCGGGAGAAAACCCGAACAACCAATGTTTAAAAAGGCAATGCTAAATCTGCAAAACTAATTATTTGTGACTATGGAAGTTATCTTTATACTTGGGTCAACTGTCCATGCTAGGATAATTCTATGTGAGCAAAATGACATTTTCTCACTGAAGGGATATTTTACCTCTGGAATTTCAGCACTGAAACACAACAGCTATTTATTTCATTGGAAATAAGCCAAATAAACACCAACATTAATCCTTTGCTCACATTGTAAACTAATACTCTTAGCCTATCAAACAAAATATTCTGAAATGTAAGACAATAAGAATTCTCTCTTGCCATGTTGTCCAGTTTTGGGGCATTTCAAATAAACCATCTTTGTTTGTATTAGCAGATAACACAATTTCAGTTTACTTATTGAAGAATACAAACTATATATGCGGGGCTAAGATTAAATACCAATTCTCTTCAGTGCCATACTTGAAAGTGCTATGTATTACACTGATTCTGAAACTATTATCTGAAGTACTGTGATAAGGTAACTGTTTTGAAACTGGTTTTGGTCACAGTAATTTCTGATTTTTCTCTTACCCTTCTGGAGGCATGGTCTGCTGAGAACAATGTAAGAACCATTATTTCAACAAATCTTGATAGTTTCTTTCAACAACATCAAATATAGTAAAACATTTATAGAACTTAACAATTATCAGTTCAATTCAGAAGTTTATGAATCAGTAAACTAATCCACTGGGATGAACAAAGAACTTGGATTTCAATTTAATGGGTTTTCATGTGACAGGTGAAGCATATGGGAGCAACTGGATAAAAAATATTATCAGTAATTTTAAACAATGAACATGCCCTAAAGGACACTAACGCTTTAAAAATTTATCAGTGATTGAATTACATAATAAGCAAAAATATAGCATGATTTGTACTTAAGACAATGTAGCCATATGCTTGCTAAAAAAACAACTGGAATGTACATTTCTTATTTTGGTTAGGTAAAGATATCATTCTCAAACTATTTCCTGTATAACTCCTTACTAAATTCCAAGGTGCCTAAATTGAATCTTCAAAATCCCATTAAGTTATATTTCATTGGAGCTTCTAACTAGGTTATTTCATTTATTACTTCTACAATTTGGCATCAGCTATTAGTCTGTCATTGCAGGAAGTGCAATTTAACAATAAATCAGTCTGAAGGACATATATCTTGAGGATACATACCATATATATATATATTTAAAAATAATCATACTTTTGTAAGCAATATTTACAGTAGACACCTCAATTCTACCATATATATGTAAAACTTAAAAACAAGAAATTTTAGGCTCTAATCTTTATACATATATTTATATTCAGTTTTATATATATTTATATATATATTATATATATACACACACACAAAAGAGTATATATAAAATATATATAATCAGATTTTTAAAAAATCAACAATAATGGGGCCATGTACATAATTTTTTTAAAACTCAAACAATACAAAACTTTAAACATTAAACAATTTTAATAAAAGTTTCTGTACAATGCTAAGCAGTTTTATTTACATATAGAAAATGTAATAGGAGTAATGTTTGAAATTACAGAACTCCTTAAAATTTCAATGGCAGGTAATCTGGAAAAAATAACAGCATTCCATTCACAAATATTTTCAAGCAATAAATATGTATTTATAAATAGTGTAAATTTACATCAAGATTAGAAACAAAATCACAAATCTGAAGTTTATTCTTTAGTCTATGTGCAACCCATTTATCTTTGTGACTTGGCTGTTAATTTTTTTAAAATTTTATTTAGGAAAGAAAAAGTAACCATCATGGTTTCAAAACAAGATAGAATAACATAAAAGCAGTAGAAAAAAAAGTATCACCTAAGTTTCACATTAAAAAACAAAGTAGCCCAAAGAAAGACATAAAATTCTAACTACCTTACATAGAAAGGACCAGCTAAGCCAGTACTTTTCCAAGAAGAAGGAGGGGAAAAAAAATCTTTCAAGGGGAGTGGAATAGAGAATTTGATGAAACCAATTCATCAGCCCAGAAACAGAGAAATAGAAAAAAGGTGGTCTTCAAGTCAGTAGTCTGTATAATGTTGCCAGTTTTGTCAGATATATACAAAACATGGGATTTTTTTTTCAATTCAGCTGAATGAGCTTTCTATTTTTTAAAATTCTGGAGTAGGAGCTGTGCTCTCTCCTGTCCAGTTGGTTGACACTCCACACTTGGAAGGTTGCATAGACACAGCTTTCAGCCAGCAGCCTTATGGGATCGCTACAAAAATCCATGGTGCAGAACTGGGTCACTTCCTGAATATCAGAAAAGATTTTATATAAATGTCCTTGGAAATATGTCAAGATGAAGATGATGGCAATGGAGGTGCCTGTAAAGAGAAAACACATCAGATTTACCTTTTAAAAAAACCTTCATATATATATAGGACAAGTATTCAGTATATATATAGGATTTGACCTACAGTAGTCAATCTATTCTAAATGCTGTTCCACTGCAGCTTTTCAAAACAATTTGCAATTTCAGTGGTGACAAAGTAAATGAATATTTTAGAAGCATCTGCAAGTCTGCACTACTATAACCTATAATGCAGTTAAAGCTTCATTTAAATCCCATTCACAATCAAATTAAACAAACTACATACAAAACAACGTACTGTACTGTAGTATGTTTATTATCTTTGTTGAAAAAAAGGTTAATCAGTTCCTAAAGGGTAAGTCGAGTCAGATATTTTAATTTAGGAGATGACCAAGGAATGCAAGTTTGAGGGGCCCTATTACATAAGACACACATTTTGGTTATCAACATCAAAGTAGGCTCTTCTGGACAGTTTTATGCACAAGAACTCTATATATCTAAAAAATACTTTGTCAATGTTCACAAGACTGGAAAGAGATATAAGACAGTAGCGAAAGACTATTGTCTCCACCAATCCAGTCTGGATGACATTGTACAAATGGGACAAAATGCAACCCCATTCATACTTTTCCCAGGACCTTCAAGAAAGGTTCTTCAACAAAATCATTCCAAGAGTAATGTGCAGAATATACAGAAGGTCAAAGAAAACTCCAGAGTAATGGCAAAAAATCTGAAAGCTCTCAGAATGATGCACACATGGGATGATACCAGGAAGAAAATCCCTGCTGCATGATCCAGCATGGTTTTGGGACAATGTTCTATGAAAAAGAGGAGATGAAAATGATATCTTTTGACATGAATTTTTTTGAAGAAAATAATACCTTCCATTCCAATTAAAAAAAAAAACTCATCCCAACTGTGAAGCATGATAGTGGGAAGATTATGGTTTGAGGCTATTTTGCAGCTTCAGAACTTGAACAAGTTAGCATCACTGAGAAAACTGTACTAGAAATTTCCACAAGATAATGTCATGGTATCTTATCTGTGAGTCAAAAGTTAAACTAATGTGCTTCATGAAGCATGACAAAAATCCTCAAACATTTTGGGATGACCGAGTTCATACCTTGATTTTAATTCAAGATTCTCGCAAGACTTGAAGTGAACAGTTTATGGAAGATAGTGCAAAAATATCAACCAATTTAAGCAGATTTGCAAAGGATAATGGACCACAGTGCCTCCAGACCAATTGTGGGGTTCATCAACAGGTAAAGAAATATTAGTTTGAAATCTATTACATGGAGTACCATCATTACTAAATTAAACGTTTCCCCGCTTTCCCCCAAACAAGCAGTGAATTATAGGTGAATGTTTTTTTTTAACCAAATCTATATGTTGTGGTTTTTTTTTTAAATAAAATCTCTTTATATATTAATAGGATTTTGATGAAGCTTGGATCACATTGTAGGTGAAAGTATGCAGGATATGCATTAATGAAAGATCTACAAAGTTCACAGTTTCTGTCATCCCCATAATCAGAGGACATTTTAACATTTTATTCATTTTCTTCAGTTCATTTAGAGACACATACCCTTCAAACTTACATAATCTTCCTAACTTCTCATGTGTACAGAGCTTTCAGCTTTCTTGTTCTCTGCCTGTTTGAAACTTTATTCTTAAAAGTTCAGAAATGACCTGACCTGAATTACTGCAGGATTAAATGACCTGAATTATTGCAGGAAATTAGTTTGAAAGATCCAGATAAGTAAAAGGGATAGTGGAAATTACTGAAACTAACACCTAAGTACATTAGAATAAGGTAGATTTAAAGCCAAGTGCTTGAATCTGAGGGGATGCAGAAACTGTTTTCATTTTTTTTTTTTTTACAAAATGGGGCACTCTCCAGCTTATCAAGAAAAGTAGGAATATCTTAAATTAGACACAAAGATTACTTGCAGAAGTGCATCAGCATTAAAAGAAACTTCCCAATTGATGGGCTAAGAAATGGAGGAAAGGCCCAGGTCAATCTAGAAGAATTTGCTCTGAAGTTTCTCTTACATCTCTGTTATTTTATTATTCTGCTAATTTTCTGGAATGTTGAAGAAGATAAACAGATTTGCTCATCTAGAACCTATTTTAACTTTTCCCAAAGGGGAACTATATTGAAATAGACCTAAGCAAAGCAATTGATAAAAAGAGGGGGCCACAACCCAAGTCATCAAAAGATTGATAAGGAACATATGATCAACATGAATGAATTTAAGGTTCCGGGATCAAACCAATTACATTACAGGAACTTGCAGATTTCATCTTGGCGCTATTTTCTACAATTTATGAGAAAAATGGAGGTGAGGCACAGTACTTTACCCTTTTACAAGGGGAAACAAGAGCTTAATAAACTATTGACCAATCAGCTTGATGTTACAACTAGCAAAACGTTGGAATGGATTATTTAGAAGTTGCTCTATCAATGTTTAGAAAAGAATGCATTGCATTGAGAGAGCTATCATGGATTTATCCATAAACAAGACAGTCCGTGCCCCACTGAGTTGTTTCGGAGATATTTCCTTACCAGATTCCTCAATGACTTCAACAATGACACAACTTCTAATGTATTTCCTTCACTGGAAAAGCTGAGATAGATTAACAGGTGTATCTGCCTTGAAAATAGCCCATGTTGAACTGCATAGCACAGACAAAATCAGGATAGGAAATGTTTTATGACATTTTGTATTATGTCATAAACTGCTTCATGTTATTTATGTCATAAAATGTTTCATACAATTTGCCAAATTTCAATTCCATGGGAGTCATGGATTCCTGGTTTTGAACACATTTTATAAGTTAATCCATTTGGGATACTTTTGTTCAAAAGGTTTTGCCCTATGGTCTACCATTTTGCTCAGTTAAAAGATTCAGGCGTCATGGTTCATTTGCAGAGCTGACATCAGGAACAGAGCTTTTTAATAGTAAATAGAGCAGCGGTTCTCAACCTATGGGTCGCGACCCCATTTGGGGTCGATCGCCCATTTTTCGGGGGTCGCCAAAGGTGGCGATCTGCCATTTTTTGCGGTGCCGTGCACGCGTGCCGCGCATGCATGCCGCGCATGGGGACAGCACCACGCACGCGCGCAGCGCATGGGGGCGGCGCTGTGCGTGCACGCTGCACGTGGGGGGCATCGCGCATGCGCATTGCGTATGGGGGCGTCGCCGCGCATGCGTGCCACACGTGGGGGCCCGCCCCCATGCGTGCGGCCCGGCGCATGCGCAGAACGTTTGTGTGACGGGGGTCGCCGTCACACAAACGTTGAGAAGCAATGAAATAGAGTGTACCTAATCAGTCTGATTTCCTTTTCATAGAGTGAACAGTTTAAATGGCTATGGAATATAGTGATCATTGTGTATTGGATGTGGTATATTTCTACTTCATAAGATTCTAGAAAAGAGGATGATAAAACATGGGCTGAACTAGGTTACCATGAGCTGGATATATAGCCAAATGCTCTGAGTTAAGTCGGAGAAAAGTATCAAGTAACACAAAGTTTCCTTTTACTGTCAAGGTCAAGATTACCAACACATTTCCTCTGTATTTGTATTGGCCAGACCTCATGCAGGACATTGCAAATGGCTCTGGACACTGCATAAAGGAAAGATATTGAAAACTGAAGGGTATCCACAGGAAAATCATCAAGATTATCAGGGGACTGGAAGGAAAAAATTATAAGGAACAGTTGGGAGGAACTGGGTATACTTGATCTGGAGATGAGAAACCTTAGAGGAGACATGGGGCAGAATTGTTTTGAAAGACAGATAAGAAACAATGCATTTACATTGCAAATAAGTAGCTTTTGGCTGGACTTGGAAGAAAGATCTTAATAGCAAATGTTTTGAACAATAAACAGGACGGTTCAAAAAGTAGTACACTTCTTTCACTGAGGGATGGGGTTGGGATATTAAAAAGAATTTGGATAGCCATTTGTTAACAGGATGCCGTAGTAGTGGATTCTTGCAAGGTGTAGAAACTTGGAAAGGATGATCTCCAAGATCATTTCCAGTGTTTACATTTATAAATGCATAATTCTCTAATTTTCTGTTATATTACTTCCATAGGAGCAAGGCCAGTGGTGGGATTCAGTCAGTTCGCACCACTTTGGCAGAACCAGTAGCTAATTTTTGTTGCCCAGGCCCCGAATGGACTTCTGGAAGCGGCACCCATACAGAGAACCGGTTGTTCACATATTTGAATCCCACCACTGAGCAAGGCTGCTTGCTGAATTAGGACATGGGAAATAATTTAAAATCTAAAAATATTGTAGCAAATATTTTTTTCTATGGGCTAAGGAGAATACAGCCAATATCCAGCTGATAGAGTCAGGCCAGTGTCATACTACATTAAAAAGAAAAAAAGAGAGAACAAATTTCTTGTTAAATGTGGCTCTAAGACATTCTGGGCCTGCGCAACAAAAAAATTAGCTACTGGTTCTGCCGAAGTGGTGTGAATCGGCTGAATCCCACCACTGCCCAAATGCATTGCTTTTGATGAGTAGAAAAACAAACAACTTATTCTGTTGCAATCCCTTTGGAGGGGGGGAGGGACAGGACAACATATACTGACTGAAATGGTGATCATCTAAGAGATGCTGTGAAGATTGTAAATTGGCCATAAAGTTATTTTTTCAGCAACATCATAATTTTGAATAGTCACTGACTGAGTGGTTGATAAGTGAGGACTATTTGTGATTATAAGCCCCATCAGGGAATCATCTTTCTCCTTAACTTTTAAATGAACAGGATGTAACATGTTGTATTATGCGTTTATTGACTCTACTGCAAGTACCAGGCTGTCTAAAAATCAAATAAAAGAAATTCTGGTATATGTGGAATTTAGAGAAAAAAATAACTGGGAGATGACTCTTGGGATGAGTTCAATTCCCTTCAACCATATGGTAATTTCTGGAGCTACAACTAAGTAATTTTGCGATTTATATTTTCTGAGCTCTATACACCCCTGAAATTTCTTCCTGACCTGTCCAGTTGCTTTGCATCTCAGTGCCATTTCCTGGATAATGAAAAGTCAGATGTCATGGAATGTAGGGCTATCAAGTGATCTTAAATTATCATCATTCAGCACTCAAGGAATGAATTTGCTTTATAGAAAGAATACAGATGGTCATGAGTTAATTTGTAGAGATTAATAAGCTTTAGTTTTCTGAAGTTAATAATTTATAGCATTATTCAAACATGTTTTATTTACAATAATGCATTCAATGTATTTTGTATCTTCATCACTTACTAATGTAAATTGGTCATAGATTTGCATTAGATCCTCCATTCTGTATTGTTCTAGCACCACAAAGTTTTCCAGGTTCCCACTTATCTTTCGTGCACAGTCTAGGCAATTTACAACATAGGTTTTTTGAGAATTACTCTCATTTGTAACATAAAGCAAATTGAAGACTTCTACCTGTTGGATCACAAAAAGATGATAAAACTAATGTTAAAATAGTAGACAAAGTTAGAGGGAAAATCACACAGCAATTTAGGATATACATGCAAAGTCTAACCTTAGACATGACATCACTTTCATAGAAAATAAATTCATACTACTATCTAAGCGAGAAAAATAGGAGCTGTAAGGGCATGTGTGTGTGTAGGGGTGCTGCTGAAAGAAGAATAGACCTATGCTCTGAATTAATAGCATTCTTCCTTTAGCCTCTGGTGATCCAATTCCTCCCAAAATTTTAATCAGTGCCCATAAAGAACATTCCATTATTTTTCTGAAAATTTATGGTTTTAGTTATAAGACTTTTTTCTGCCATCACCAGAGATCTTTAAAAAAAAATAAACTGGAGAACTGAATAAAAATATTAATTATGAAAAATATATTTACAATATTAATATGAAAAAACTTTTACTCCTCTCAAATGTTCTTCAAAATCTTAACAAAAGAAAAGATTTCTCCATTCTCCAATTAAAATTTCTATGTTGAAGTCTAGAAATACCTGCAACACCAAGATACTTTGGGAACTCCAAGAGGTGCTGCTATTTTCACAAATAAGCGGTTTTTCTTACTAATCTGATGTTTTGTGGAAACAGATTAGTAATGCACTTATCTGGTTATCATCATGCTTACGTTTAAGAATCAACTACAGTTACTTTTAATATATTAAACATTATGATTTGTTGATAACAGAATCTGGTACTTTATTAAAGTTCTTTCTTTGTTTTTAAAAGGAGAAAATCCTGGAAATTTCATTTTTCTACCTTAGGGTTCAGCAATACATCACCAAAAGGCCACTAGGTAGTGTCTACTGTTACTTTCTCATTCCCCCCATCCCAATTAAACAAATACAATAAATACAATTAAAAACGGTCAGAAGATTTCTATGTCCTTCTAGGAGATTTTGGCCATGTAATTTTAAAAAGTATTTTTAATTTTGTGATGTTCATAACATTTTCTGCAATTATGCAAAAGGATCAATCTGAACAGTTTTTTGAACTCCATTTTAGATTTACCTGACGAGTTTCTATATTTGTTCATCAAAGCATGCTCTTCACAGTTCAAAGAACACAGATCTGAGATTAGTCTTATGATGAATTACAACATGAGATCAGTGTTGAAATGAAATAGTGAAATGTTTGCTTAAAGCAGGGACCCGAATGATGACTTGCAGCCGTATTTGGTGACAGGGAGAGGTTAAAGAACAATGGGTATTCAAAGGCTCCTATATTGATTTCCTCCCTCCCTTCAAAAAATGAAATAACTGTACCACCCAAAATCTGTTAGTTTTGAGGTAAAATTTCAAAAATATGATTCAGCGGTATTCTGGGCTTGTCCTGCAAAATGGATTGTTACTTTTGACTTAAAGAAATTTATAATTCAACAATGAAGAAAGGTTTTGTTCTTTGCTACTGACTATATCTAACCTTAAATGTAGAACAGATACATAGAAACATATGCACATCTCCTGCATTTCTTCTTTTCAGTAACATGCTGAGGGATTTTATTTTCCCACTTATTTAACTATTTTATGTTATTAGGCTCCTTTTCATACATTTTCTGTTAAATGTCTTAGAACTTATTGATTAAAGACTACAATGAACTTTTTTTTACAAAAATAAAATATTTATACGATCTGTAATTTTGCATTATACGCTAAGAAAATTGGTCTATGGCATCATTTGTGATCTCATAAAAATGAAAAGCTGTATAAAGGAATTTATAAAAAATGTGTTACTACTGAATTCAAAGTGTACATCTTTTTATACCTTATATTAAATAGAAACTTTTGATAGTTAATGTTACACCTAGAAAAATATTTTTTTACAGCTAGGTCCAACAGAAGAATGTAATACTTGAGAATGAATGGGTTAAAGAAGAGTTTAAAATTACCAACATCTACAGAGAATACAAGAGCAATTAGTTAAAGCTTTAAGAATATGTTTTCAAAAAAGTTCAAGAAATATTAAATCACAGCACACATGTATTTACTAACCTCACATATGCTACAATAATGAGCTGGTTCTTCTTTTGTTCTCCCATGCCATACAATCTCCTTTCCTGCAGCAATTAGAGCTTCCCTCAAAGTCTGACATTGCTTGAGAGTTCTCAACAGGCAATACCTTAAATATTAATTTATTTCATTAATTTGTTTAAAAATAGGGAACTGATTATATGAATTTGATTTTGAGCATTCAGAAATGTTCCACAAGAATCTATTGGATTAGATAATCTCATTTTTCAAACCCATGCAATCCTCCCACTGCATATACACATCTTGATTTTTCTTCCTTATTTATCTAGTGATGGGATAGTGAAAACAATAATATCTCTTCTCTGTCCCAATTCCTCTATCAGGATGCATAGAAATATATACCCGAAGTAGCACCATTGCAGTTGGGTAGCCATTCCTGGAAAACATGGTCCTCTAGTACTCTCAAGATATTTATTAGAACTAAGAAGTTCCTGTCTTCTAAGTTTGATATCATCCTAACAGAGAAAAGAAGAAAGCTTTCTGCTGCCTTAACCACATCTTCTCTGGTACAACTAAAAAAAAAGTATGGTGATAAAGAAGGAAGACTGGATAGAATTATGTGTATTTGTATAAAGACTGATTCATTCTGATAGTGTTAAACTCTGATCTCATACCATAGGTAGGCAGGTAGGTAGGTAAATAAATAGATATATCTCTCAATGGCACTATGACTCCAATCAATAGTATAGTCCAAAAATGCTCATATACATCTTTTTTCCAAGTGATCCTATTGCAGATCAGTAGTGAGATCTGATATAAAATTATGTTCTGTGATAGATAATTTGGAATACTAATTTGGTTTATGTTAAAAAGATATCCTCATTTTTTATATTAACAAATTATATAATAAAATTCAATATTGATATTGATAAGATATAAGATAGGACTGAATGTGTCTAGAGATGGTACAAGCTCTGAGGAACAAAATATATCAAGAGAGATTGGAGGCATGTACATGAATGCATACAGCCTAGAGCAGGGCTTTTCAACCTTTTCATAGATCGTACCACTTTTAGGACATGACAATATTTGAGTACCACCAGTGCTTAGCAAGGTGTCAAAAACTTGATGACTAAAAGGGGGGGGGGCTTTTCTGGTTAGATTCATTTGTTGTTATAGAAATGGCTAGTTTATAATATTATGGAAAAGTAAAACGTTGAGGTTCAATGCTTCCTTCTACTGCAACAGAGTATGTTCTTTTTCCCTTCTCCCCTTCACTTTTCCCCCCTTTTTCCTCCCCACTATGTCCTACTATTAGCTTTTGTATTTTATTCTACAATCTAATAAAATATTACAAACTGTAGAAAAAAAATAAAAAAAGTTTTAATTTCTTCGGTGGCTAGTTCCTTTGCTGAATCACTTTCCCTTTGCACTGACAAATGTATGATGAATTTATCTATGTTTATTAATATGCACCACTACCAGATGCTTCAGGGGTCTTCAAACTTGGCACTTTTAAGACTTGTGGATTTCAACTCTCAGAATTCCTCAGCCCTCATGGCTGGTTGAGGAATTCTGGGAGTTGAAGTCCACAGGTCTTAAAGTTGCTAAGTTTGTAGACTCCTGAGTTGGCTGGTTTGCCCTTCTGAGCTCTTCCACAGTGTAGTAAGAATGCACCCCCCCAATCCCTTCCCTGTACCCTTAAAGACACAGGAATCAAGTGCAAAGCAAGAAAATTAAGAAACACAAACTCTGTTTTTTTCTCTTTAAGCTGCCTGAGTTTAAACATGCTTGGGATACACACACGTCCATCATCCAACGAAAATTAAAAAAATAAAACAAAAATAAATAAAATATAAACACAAAATCAAATAAACTGAAAGGGCAGACTCGATGGACCAATAGGACCTTTTCTGCTATCTTTCTATATTTTAATATTCCTTCACATTTTAATTAAAGGTCTTAATATTAAATTTATATGGCTGGATGTGATGAAATCACTGGCTGAAGGAGGGGGCTCTCTAGAGGGAACTAAAAAGATATTCCAGCTGGGAGTCATTTTGGGAAGGAAATGTCTGAGGTCAAACCCATAAGTCTGTATTTGCCATTTCTCAAAGGAAGGCAGATAGTTGGTGATATTCTTGTAATATAGATAATCAGTAATAAAATATCCACTTGGGTCTCTTCATGAGTGGTTCTGCTTGCTTTGAATCTGATTCTGCTCATCTCACAAATACAACTCTGAGTGGCTGACATGGATTAAAAAAATATAATATAAACACATTATATAAAAACATAATTATATTTAACAGAAGCATTCCACCTATTTTGTTCTTTGTAAGTATTCAGGAGCAAGTTTTATTCTAGTTAATTATAAAACTTATAACATTCATTATCTTGATCATAAACTATATGATCCAACTTGGAAAATATAGCTCTGAATGGTGAGTAACTTTATTTTTGGAAAAAGAGTGCTACTGCTCACATCTTCATGAAAATTCAATTTTCCCTCCCTTTATCTTTTTATTATCTTTTTACATTTTAAAGAATTTATATGCCACCTTGTCAAAATAAAATATCAGAAATGCATGTTAAATTAAAAAAAATCCTAATCAGACTAATTAAAAAGTATAATATATTAAGAGAGCAATTTAGGCCTTTGAGAGGAAATATTACATATACAAAACATTTCTAAAAGATTGTGTTTTTCAATCATGACCCCCAAAATGATGGCCATGATTGCTGTAAAATTATAGCATCAATGTCACAACAGTGGAAAAATGGGATCAGGACAAAAATAGGCTGCCTAGCACAATTCTTCAGAATATTTTCTTTTAGATTCTAAATAGTTGCATTCACTTCATATTCCTTTTACTCTTCAATCCTCCTTTTCCAGTAAGAACTGGAGATTAACCTAAGTCCTCATTTCTCATAATTTTAATTTATGATGTATGACCTGAAAGATTGGAATTAACCATGGGAAATAGCAACTCTTGATCTCAAAAATTCAGTTTGTCCATCTTGGTTTTTTTGTTAGAAAATTATAAAGGTAACATAGGAGCTCTGGTGCTTCAGACTGAATATTTCCTACTAAATATCTGACATTTCATTTGTTTATTGCTTTGACTACTAAATTTAAAATACCAATTTGATACATTATGCTTCAACTGATCATAGATATCATTCTTGCAGCACCTACATCATAAAATTGAAACCAAGAATCTTGTGTGACATTACACTTCCAATGAAGTGGTTGTAGGGACCTCTTGGCAGAATGTCTTTTTACAAGCATAATCTACAAATTCTTAAATTTAACTGTTATTTATTTTTTTCTTGATATTGATGTTAAAATTGTATTTCCAATGTTTTTTTGGATTTTACTTGGTTATTGAGCATTAAATAGTAAAGTACTACTATTTTATCTGTTCTTTATATATCTTATTTCTTTATAATATTGTTGGACTGCATTTAAATTGTTTTAATGTATTAATGTCACTTTAATTGGGCTATATCATAAATAATTTGGTCAATGAATTCATTCCTTTTTTATTGATTTATTTCTATCAACAATCAGCTTTATAAAAGATTTGTATATTTCTACATTTATGTAGTAATTTGGAAAAGAAAGTAATTTACTATATAGCAATAGTGATGAGACAGATTTACCTCTACTAACTCATTTAAACACCTGGTAGTTAAGCAGAATTATGTAGTAATAAAGAGGGAGAGGAAATTGAGAAAAGTTTGCAATGTATTAGCATAATCAGTAGACTCTTGAAGAGATTCAGCGAAAACATTTAATCATTCTTCACAATGTGTGCATTTGAAGGAGTGAAAAGGAATATAATCTGTTGGGAATATAGCTTTGATGCCTTAAAATAGTATCACATTCACTTCCTCATCAGTACAAAATTATATATAGCTATCATCCCCCCACAATATGACCGACAGTACAATATTAGAAGTGAGCACTATTCAAATTTGAAGCAAGAAAGTCTTTTAGATTTGGTATGCAAATAGGAGGAGAAAGGTGTGTTGGATATATTCACTGACTTGAGTTATTTGTAAATAATTAAGGTGGGATACAAATAAATAAATAGATAAATAATTCATTAACAGCTCCTTAAGTCACACCTTTTCCTGGATTTACCCAAAGATGAGTGGTCCTAGAAAAATGCGTATGTTAAGAAATTCCCAATAGGTATAGCAAACATACCTATGCTGGATTCAAGACACTTTTCCCACTTTACATCCATATATTGCATATTACTATACTGCATAATACTATACAGCATGTTAGTTACAATTACAATATTTAATCCAAATGAGCATACAATATTATTGTAGGGGTTTTCATTTTTTTAATATAAAGTGAAGCATTCAACAATTGATATTGCAAAGCCAATAATCAACAGCAGATGATTTGCTGCTCTTTGTCAGAATGCTAGATATACTTTATTATCTTTGTTTTAATTAATTATAAAGCAGTGGGTGATATATTTCCAAAATTGTCGTTTACAAATCAGCTACATTTAACAGTAGTGATAAGCTTTCTTTCGTATTTATAATTCTACACTAAGAAATAATTTGTTTCACTTAGGGATTTGTTCTTTCTATAAATAATAATTCACTAAGTAAATATATATTGATTTAAAATGACTTACTTGATCATTTCAAAAAGCTTTGGATCTGGTACTTTGATATTTCGTGCTATGTTCCAAGAAAGATGAACCATAGGTACTACTGACTTCACACTTTGCAATTTATTCCACTCGTACCGTTCCACAGCTAATTTATATTGACAAGCTACAAGAAAATGAAAGAAAAAAAAATATGTGGACCATTTTTCTATAATGATCTTTCCCTTCATCAATGAAAAAAAAATTTTAGTCATTAGAGGTTTTAAATATTTTATGAAATCACTTGGCCAAAATTCTTGATTGTATATGCCAAAGTAAAATGTCAGAGACACAAGGGAACATTTACAGTGAGACATTTTATCCTAAGCACATTTTTTATATTAGAGGTAAATAAAAATGAACAGAATTTCAAAAAATGCATTGTCATTTTTAAAAAAAATAAAGTTCTAAGCAGGGCCTTTTGTGGTGAAAACCACATTGACATAACAAAATGTTGGGTTGAAGTACCAATAACAGAATATAGAATAGGGTTGGAAGGGAGGTCTTCTAGTTCAGGGCTGGAGGTCTTCTAGTCCTTGCTCAAGCAAAAAATCTACACTATTTTGGACAAATGGCTGTCCAGTCTCTTCCTGAAAAGCTCCAGTGATGGTGCACCCACAACTTCTGGAGGCAAGCTGTTCCACTGATTAATTGTTCTGACTGTCAAGAAATTTATCTCTCTTTAATGATCTTCCATCTGTCACTTCTTGTCCTACCCTCAGGTGCTTTGGAGAATAGGTCAACTTCTTCTCCTCTGACAGCACCTCACTACCCTCAAGTACTAGAAGATTGCTATCATATCATCCCTAATCTTTCTTTTTGTTACACTATGGAACATACCTAATTCCCTCACTCATTCATTCATAAATTCCAGACCCCTTATCATCTTTGTTACTGTTCTCTGCGCTCATTCTAGAATCTCATTTTTTATTTTTATTGATTTTTTTTCTTGTTTCTTACATATTGAAAGAAACCTTTAAATTATTTTAGGCATTTGTTGCTAGTCTTAGTTCATTCTGAGCCTCAGTTTTCCTTATTCATTGTTGCAGATTTGGGCTATTTACTGGTATTCTGTTTTAGTTTTATGTCCCTCTTTCCATTTCTAATACTTCACCTTTTTTTCTTTCAGTTTGTCAAAGAGTTCTTTACGCAACATGCTGGCTTTGTCTGTGGTCTCTTGTTTTTTTTCTTCTCTGTGATATTATGTTATATTGGACTTATTTTCCCTTTAGGTTGTCCATCAAGGAAACTTTCCTAAAGTCTTTTTTTTTATTGAATTTTTTTTATTTTTTAAACATACAATCATTTATAAAAATACAATAAAATTTTTAAAGTAGAACCCCCCCCCTTACCCTCCCTCCTTCCCACCCCCAACCCCCCTCCCTTCACTTCCCAGAGCAGAATACAGGGTTAATAATAAAAAGTTATAATAATTAAGAAAAAAGAAAAAAAAGAAAAAAAAAAAGGAGAGGAAAAAAATATCATAATTAACATTTAACTCCATAACCTATAAAACAATTCTCTATAATAGTTAAATTCATTCATAAAATAAATGAAACTTTTTAATTCCATACTTTTTCTGAATATAATCTATCCATCTTCCCCATACAATAATATATCTTTCTTGTGTATGATCCTTTAAATAAGCAGAAATTTTTGCCATTTCTGCAAAACTAGATACTTTAAATATCCATTCTTCTAAAGTAGGCAAGGAATCTTTCTTCCAATATAAACCTACTAGTAACCTTGCTGCAGTTAATAAATTCAACATCAAAGTAGTTTCTTTTTCATTTAAGTCAACAAAAATACCAAGTAAAAATAGTTGAGGAGTAAACTTTATCTTTTTTCTAAAAATCTTTTGAATGTTCCACCAAATCATAATCCAAAAAGCCTTTACTTTTTTACAATTCCACCAAATATGAAAGTATGTCGCATCATTATTGCCACATCTCCAACATTTGGGCTGTATATTGGAGTACATACAAGATAATTTTTTAGGATCTAAGTGCCATCTATAGAACATTTTATAAAAATTTTCTCTCAAATTTTGAGCTTGTGTGAATTTAACATTTCTTATCCAAATTGTCTCCCATAAATCCAATGAGATCGGCTCCTGTATATTCTGAGCCCATTTAATCATACAGTCTTTAACCAATTCTGTTTCCGAATCTAACTCTAATAAAACATTGTATATTCTTTTTATATGAGCCGGACTTTGGTTTTTAATCTGAATAACCAATTGTCTATCTTCTAGTGTTATTCCCTCTTTCTTGTCTACAGTCCATCTATCCATTATTTGTAAATATTGAAACCATGACTGTAGAATATTTTGCTGCCTTAGTACATCTAGAAAAAGCTTTTTGGACTTTTACACAAAATTATATTCAAGTGATAATATAAGGGGTTTGGATATAGATAAATATTTACAATCAGTACATTTTCCTAGACTTTCAGAGGAACAACAAAATGGGATGAATAGTTTAATTACTGTGGAGGAAATTGGTTTAGCTATTAAGCAGTTAAAGGTTGGAAACTCTCCTGGAACAGATGGACTGACTTCTAGGTATTATAAGATCTTATCTGAAGAAACGATAGAGCCATTAAAGGAACTCTTTAATAGTATTTTGTTGGGTATGCAAGTTCCTCCTTCTTGGAAAAGAGCTTTTATATCACTGATTCCGAAGGAAGATCAGGATCTTACAGAGCCTAAGAATTATAGGCCAATTTCATTATTGAATGTTGATTATAAGATTTTTACAAAATTTTTGGCAAATAGACTAATGCAGGTTATGAAAGACTTGATTCACAGTCATCAAGCAGGATTTATAACAGGGAGATACATGAAACATAATGTTAGACAAATTATTAATTTAATTGAGTACTTGGATAAGAATAATCAGATTCCTGTGGCTTTTATCTTTTTGGACGCTGAAAAAGCTTTTGATCAATTGGACTGGCAATTTTTATTTTCTTTGGTAGAGAAAATGAATTTTGGGGATAATTTTTTACATGCACTTAAAGCTATATATCAGCAGCAATCTGCACAAATTGTTGTAAATGGGGGATTGACTGAGAATTTCAATATTCAAAAAGGGACAAGACAAGGATGTCCATTATCCCCATTGTTATTTGTTTTAACATTGGAAATTTTATTGATTCAGATTCGGGAATCGAAGTTAGTTAAGGGTGTAAAGATAAGGAAGAATGAGTATAAATTGCGGGCATTTGCGGATGATTTGGTTTTAATTTTGGAACAGCCGAATCAGGCGATTGATGGTTTATTAGAACTTATAACACAGTATGGGAATGTTTCTGGTTTTAAAGTTAATAATTATAAGACTAAGATATTATCTAAGAATATGTCAGTTAAAGATAGGGAAATTTTGATTAAAGCCACAGGTTTTCAGATGGTAAAAAAGGTCAAATATTTCGGAGTATATCTAACTGCTTCAAATGGAAAATTGTATAAGAACAATTATGAACCACTATGGGCAAAAGTCCAAAAGGATTTAAGAGATTGGAAAAAATTGCAATTGTCATTGTTGGGGAGAATTTCAGCCGTAAAAATGAATGTTCTACCAAAGTTTCTTTTTTTGTTTCAGATGATACCTATTCTTAAAAAAGAAGCAAATTTGAAGGAATGGCAAAAGGGTATTAATAATTTTATATGGGCCGGTAAGAGACCAAGGGTTAAATTTAAGATATTACAGGATGCTCGAGAAAGAGGGGGACTTAAGGCACCTAATTTGAAATTATATTATGATGCAGCCGCCCTAACTTGGTTAAGTGATTGGCTTAATTTAACAAATATGGATATTCTTTTTTTGGAAGGTTGGGATTTAATATATGGTTGGCATGCATATTTAATTTTTAATAAGAAAGTTGATCGGACTTTTAAATCACATATTTTGAGGAATGCCTTACTTCGTGTTTGGAAGAAGTATTATTATAGATTAAATTATAAAATACCTCTCTGGGGGATTCCCAGACATGCAACTGAGGGAACTTTTAAGGGGACAAATTTTGACAAAATCTCGTATAAAGAATTGTTAATTCGCTCTGGTTCGAATTGGCATTTGAAATCCCTAAAGTCTTAATTTGTTGAAGTCAGCTCTCCTAAAGTCTAAAACAGTAGTTTGACTTGTTCAATTAGTTGTGCCTGCATTATGTTGAATTCCAATATGACATGGTCGCTGTTTCCCAAAGTTCTTGCAACTTCAATCCCTTCCATTATTTCATCTCTGTTATTAAGTATTAATTCCAGTACAGCTGACCTTCTAGCCGCCTCCTCTACCTTTTGGATGACTAAGTTCTCAGCTAGACTGTCAGGAGCCTGTTTGATCTCCCACATGCTGCAGAGCTTATCTCATTGTTGATTTTAGGGTACTTAAAGTCCCCCATTACTACTATGATGCTTCCTGCACACCTTACTTAATTGATTAGCAAAAAGTTTGTCTATTTCCACTGGTTGGTTGGGTGACCTGTGTATATCAATGTGATTCTTTTTTCCCTTTATATTAATCCATAAGCATTCATGGCTTTCATCCTTGGTTTTATACATTTCTATATAGGTGTAGTGATTTCTTACATATAATGCAACACCACTTCTTCTTTTTTTAGGCCTGTTTCCTTTGAACAGAAAGTGCTTAATTTTAACACAGAATTTTAACCTAAGCCATATGAATGCTTTCAAGTGACAGAAAATAATACCCATGATTTGGGATCAGAAAAGAGATCTGGTAAGTTTACATTCATGCTATGGGTAAGAAGTTTGGTTTGGTTTTAGTATAGCATATTTGTGAATTTAACTATTGTTGTATGTAAATTATGGTACAGGTGTTTTTATGTTTTGTGTATCCCAAACATTACTTATTCAAGAAATCACAACCAGCCATACCGTAATAAGATATGTGAACCGCAGTCACAATGTGCCTCCTCTGGTCCTCCTGTACCTGCTTAATAAGCCTTGAAAAACTGCTGTGGGAAATAATGGCTAAAAGTTTCCTTTGAATTAGGATTGCCAATTATCATTCAAGTTTATAAAAATTGCTCAAAGTTGATGTCAAGGGTACATCATAGTCTGATAACCAGAAAATATTCAACTGGTCAAGTGGAAAAATATGTAGAAATGAACAGCTTATTTCTGATCATTAAAATCATGATTCAGAAGGACATGGTGCTGAATATAATTTATGATACTCTCTTCACTATTTGCTCAACCTCTGCATAATACTTCCAGATATTTTCTATTGTAATGTTATTACTTGGAAAACATGTTTTAATATCATTTTGATGATTAATTCTCTTATAACAGGTTTGGGGTTTCTGGATGTTAAAATGGTTAAGATATCAAATTATCTTATCTATTACATAATTTGTAGTGCTACAGATCAGTCTAATTTTGTGTCTTATAAACATGTTACATATCTGTTAGAAGTTGAAAGTTCAGAAATATTTCTAAATCATTTTCCAATTGTAAGATTTATCAGACTCCTACCTGTAAGAGGGCCAACATTCCAGGCAATATTATTACACCAGCCAACAGCCTGAACCCAATGGACAGTCCCAGCATTTATCCACACTAGATCTCCCGGTCGTTGAATAAACCTATAAACTGGAACATTGGCTTCATACAAATCTTCCAGATTAGGCCACCAAGAACCCATTAGAAAATTCATATTGTTTCTGTAAAAGAAGAACAAATATTTGGAAAAGTTTACTTATACACAAATGCTTGCCTATGCTCAATAGAATATTTTTTCTAAAAAAAACTATGAACCTCTTCCTTCTTCACATGTGATTCATCTAATTTAAATATTTGCAACAAGGTATAATAAACTGCTTTCTAAGAAATTACAAGATTATGGTATAAGAGTATTTTATGCTGGTTAGATAAGATTCTAGCTAGGATGATAACTTTTATTTATACTTGCATATCTATATTGTTACTACCTTAGAAGTTGGGTAAAAATGACAGAAGAAAAAATATAGGAGACAATGACAAACATAATGAATATAATTAAAAATAGAACTGTGTTAGAGAAGAGCAATCTATAATTTTTCAATTTAAAATATCTCACAAAGGCATGCTATTTGGGGTTTCTGAGAATTATAGTCTGGCTGCAGTATTATCACTTTGTCATCTCTGTTTCAGAGAAAGAGACACAGAGAGAATTCAACACTTACTTTTCACAGAAATCATTCATGATACCCCAGTAACTTTCTGGAACAACAAACCATTCACAATCACCTGGACCTATATTTATATTGACTGAGCAAAAGTTGTTATTTTCTTGATGACCTATAATTAAAACAAAGTAAGTGATGAATTATATTTACAATATAAACAATATGGAGCATTATAATAGAAAAACAGAATCTTAAAGATTTAAGAAATATATCACTGTAAGATTTCATACAAGACTGCTCTTGTTTGAGATGATAAATATATTTATTCAAATATATTTATTTATTCACTTTAATGAATAAAGGAGAAGCAAACTCCTTCGCAAATGGAACAAAAAGAAAAGTAAAGAAGGGATGCAAGTGTAAGTTTATACTATTATTTTGGTGATACTTAGATACTATAGCAGACATGGAGAGGTAGGGATTGAATCACAATTTTTCTACAAAAATTAAGCTTTGAAGTAGGATTTAAAAAGTGAGAGAGGTGGCACCAAACAGTATCTTTGACGGTAGTTTCATGAACTAAAAATAAGCAAGGAAAAAAGTTGACTTCAATATGCATTTCAGCATCTTTTCTAATCGCTCACAATCTATTTGGCTGTATGTACTGTGGTCTTAAGCATTTCAATCTTCCCTTCCTGACCTTCCATGTAGCAGGCAAAGTGTGCTCATTCCATTATTCAAGGAATTTGCTACTTTCCACTCTGCTAACTCTAGCAGGCTCCTGGTTTCTGCCATTTAAGGGCATCTTCCCTCCTTTAGCCAATTACTTCACTAACAACCATGCTACCTCTTTCTCCACTGCTCTTCTCCTTTTTTCCTTAGCTGTGGATGCACAAGTAGCTTACATTCTTCCTTTCTCTGGGTATGACAAATGGGAAGAGCCTAGAGGCAATCAAGTCTCACCCTTTCTCTCCTCCAAGTCCAAGGGATCTGGAGGATATTTCCAGAAAGTAAGAGGAGATGGAAAAGCTCCAATATGTAAAAATATTAATATTCTAGGCCACAGTGTCAAACTCGCCACATCATGTGACGTGTCGTGACGTATTGTGACTTTTTGCATTGCCGGAGCTGGGGTGGGCGCGGCCTCCGTATGATGTAACCAGCCCACGAGCCGATAGTTTGACACCCCTCTTCTAGGCAGTATATAATAAAACCTAACACAACAAATTTATAAAGAATGACATTTCTAAACCAAAACTAATGACAACAACAACAACTGTATACCTGGTTACCCAATAATAGACCATCAAAAAGCTGTTTAAAAAGAAACATTTTAACGCTTTCCTGAATCCCAAGAATGAAGGTGGAAGGTGGAATAGTGTATTCTATAACGCAGAAACACAGAGAAGGTCTCCCATTTGATCCATGCCTCATCTCCTCTTGTGGTGGCAGAATCTTAAGTTGGCCTTCTGCATGAATTCTCAAAAAACAGCATGATGTTGGAAAAGGTAGCCTCTAATGTCTGTCTCTTCTCAACAACAGCCAGCCAGAAGGGGAAGATTTCTATCCCACATCTTGTCATGCATAATCCATCCGAAATCTTAAACTCTCTCCTTTTTTAATGTGGGTGGATAGGGAACAATACCTCTATGTCTGGTGCCAAAACTTACTCATATAAACTAATGGGATCAGAGCTAGCAGTGACTGATGAGGAAAGAAACCTTGGAGTATAGTAAACTGTTCAACGAAGATGCCAACATGGTGTGCATCTGCTGTGGAAAAGGCCAAAAGCATATTAGGGATAGTAAGAAATGGTACTGAAAAATCAATAGTCCTATGGGATCTGGAATGCTGCAGTTTTCACTGCCACACTTCAGAAAGGATAGAGGGGAGATAAAGAAGGTTCAGAAGGAAGCTAAGAGGATCAAGGTATTGAAACAACTTCACTGTTAGATAAGGTGGCAACATTTGGGCCTTTTTAATCTAAAAATGAGGCAAATGAATGGGGACATAATTGAAGTATAAAATATGCATAGTGTAATTTAGCAATCTTCAAATTTAAGATACCTGAGGAACCATTTCAAATCATATAGAAGTCATTAATAAATATCTATGGAGATTCTCAGTCATCCAGGTCATGGTTGTCCCAAAGGTGCTTTTTCAATAGGCAACTGGACTTTGTTGTTTTTCTTTGAAGACCTTTCACTTCTCATCACTTCTCATCCAAGAAGCTTCTTCAGCTCAGAGCTGAAGAAGCTTCTTGGGTGAGAAGTGAAAGGTCTTCAAAGAAAAACAGCATCTTTGAGTTATTAATAAATACATTTCATAGAATATATTTATTTGGACAAAATGTTACAATTAATGTTGTAGTAACACATTCATAAATACATTTATATGATTTAAACAGAAATTCTTACAGTATATTGAGCCCCTGGAATATTTTTATGGAACTGGGTTCTGGAAAATAGTTTGAATAGGCTAGGCTAGAGTTCCCCAATGTTTCTGGCTTTGCAGACTGGGGGGGGGGGAGGAAGAGGGGATGGCTCTGCATGAGTGGTGGCAAGAGCATGCATGCAGCTCCATTTGTGCGAGAGGCATGCACACGTGTCTGCTGCTCACTTAAATGGAGTATGTTCGCTTGCCCGTTGCTCACACAAGTGAGCACTCATGAACTCTCTAGTCATTTTTGCGGCCCGTTTACAAACTCCTCATGGCTCACTATTGAGCCGCAGCCTACAGGTTGGGGACCCCTGGTATAGGTAAAGTAAACAAACAGAAGCTATTTTGTTCTTCCCAAAATACCAGAAAAAAAGATTACGCAGAGAAAAAGAAACTTGGAAGACTTAGACAGAAAAAAAGGACTTTTGTTTCTTTTACACAACACAAATTCAATTTTGGAAGTCAGTTCCACAAGATGCTACCAAGTTGGCTTAATTCAAAAACATGTTGGACCAATTCATGGAAGTTATGGGGAATCAATGGTTAGTAGCCTTCATGGCAGTGTATTGACTCTGATAGACATATATTAGGAGACTAATGGTTTTTTGTGAGAACAGCCTGTTGGACTACATGGGCTAAGAGCCAAATCCAACAGGGCACTGCTTATGTCATGAAGTCTGGTCATGAAGACATTGTCTATAGCTACTCAAGATCCCCTTCTAGTGTCACTGCAACTGAATGTTTCTCTGAAGTGAAGCCAAAATTCATTCTACTAATGTTTTCTCCTCCAACCTCTGAAATGAAGCATGTACTTTGTATAACCTACCTGATGTTCTGCTGCCTGGGACTTTCATATACAACTGAACGGTATTCATTCCCAAGACTGTATGACCAACATGACTAAGAAGGTTTCCTGCTGATACTACTCGGACAAAAGCAGGAAGCTTTGTAAGTTCATGTAGCTGTAGCTTCCATCTGTTACAAAATAGCAAATGAATTGGTTATATAATATTTTGGGGAATACAAAGCATTTTTATTCCCTGAAAATTTTTTAATAACTGTATATCAGACATGTCAAACACAAGACCCGGGGGCCGGATGCGGCCTGCAAAGTGCTTTCATGTGGCCCATGAAGTCATCCTGGAAACAGTGAGGGAACGGCCCCCGCTGCCTTGGCCCTGGCCGGCTGGCAGAGAGCCAATGTACAATTTTGTAGTGGCCATCTATGCTGAAACACATTCAGTCTTAGCTCCACAAGGCCATCTGGAAACAGCGAGGAACCAGCCCCTGCCGTATCGGCCCTGCCCCCTGGGTGCATGCTGGGGAGGTGTCACCCTTTGTGAGGAATGAAGAAATGCACCATCGCCTGAAAGTGGCCAGCAAATGGCCCTTGCCTACTTCATCTATCTGGCTTGATGGGCTCCAGGGGAGGGGTTTCAGCAGGCAGTGAGGCTCCTCCAGTGGACCATGCCTTGTCACTTGCCCCAGTCCCACCCCCTTCTGCCAGAGACTCTCAGATCTGTCCCACTCCTGCCCAGGCCCCCACAGGCACCCTTGAATAGAACAATGTAGAGCTGGCCATGCCCACCCAACAGGCCACACCCACTCCATCCACACCCATCCTGGCCACCACCCCCCCCGAGGGCAACCGCAATGCTGATGCGGCCTTCAATGAAATTGAGTTTGACACCCCTGCTGTATATAATTACAGTAAAAATCTAAGGGCAGCTTAACATACCAATTGAAGCCCATTGGAAAACTAACAGCAACCAGTGTAATAATGACATTTGAAAGGGAGAATGACATAGGTGTGTGAAAGAGAAAATTATTAAGTTGTCACAATGTATTAAAGCAACTTGTCCAAAATAGGTATTCAAAATGAGCATACAATTCAGACACATATAAATCCAATTGTAATTAATAATTATTATTTCTCATAAATTATCATCTGCCTATAATAACCCTACAAAGATGAGCATAAATGTCCCTTCAGTTTCTCACTTGAGATATAATATTTAGACCTTTCACCTTTAATCTTAATCTGCAAAAATGCACCACTTCCACGATAACATTAATCTATTCCAAAGGGGAAATATTTATTCTTCAGAATGTTAGGGCAGGGATCCCCAACCCCCAGTCTGTGGACTGGCAGCGGCCTGCAGCATGCCAGAAACTGGTCCATGCAAGCAAACAAAGCCCAATCTGTGGGATGCAGGCAGCGTGAGAAACCACACCCCCTCTGGTCCGCGGAAAACCCTGTCTCCAAGGAATTGGTCCTTGGTGCCCAAAAGGTTGGAGGTCTCTGTGTTAGGATATTGATGGTGTATGTAAATTGTCCTGATAAATATTAATAAATATTACCCACAATGGATAATTAGATAATTTGAGATACTAATCAATGTGGCTGGTAGCTTGGTGTTCTCTGAAAAATGTATTTCCTGAATGCTCTGGAAACCTTACTTCAGTTTAGGTGGAATATAATTTTAAATAAATGTCATCGATTAAGAAAATGATTTGAGTGAATAAAGGCATTATTTTAAAGGAAAATCAATAATATCTCATTTATACATTGATGGGAAAAATATTTGAATTGAATTTCTCTTAAGAAAAGAGCAGCCACCATTGTAATCATACTACCTAAAATAATGAAGCCAAATATACTTGGGAATACAATCTAAGAAAAAATGGTAATAAAAGGAAAGACTTTAATATTGTATATGTGGCTTTACTTACTTCTTGTCATCTGATAAATCAACGTTGGTCCCAAATTTGATAGTTTTAAAAGGTCCCCTTTTCCTCTTCCCAGAACTGTAAATTAAAAGACAAAATAAGACACTAATAAATATATTTAGTTTTTTATTTTAAAAGGTTTTAAATAAATTATTTTAAAATCTTTTTAGTTTTTACTAATTTATTTAGGGCATTGAATCAGACAAAGAATGCAATTAGTTGTTGTTGTTAATTGCGAAGTCGTGTCCGACCCATCGCGACCCCATGGACAACGTTCCTCCAGGTCTTCCTGTCCTCTACCATCTTCTGGAGTCCATTTAAATTCACACCTACTGCTTCAGTGACTCCATCCAGCCACCTCATTCTCTGTTGTCCCCTTCTTCTATTGCCCTCAATCTTTCCCAGCATTAGGCCCTTCTCCCGTGAGTCCTTCCTTCTCATTAGGTGGCCAAAGTATTTGAGTTTCAACTTCAGGATCTGGCCTTCTAAAGAGCAGTTGGAGTTGATCTCTTCTAGGACTGACCGGTTTGAACGCCTTGCAGTCCAAGGGACTCGCAGGAGTCTTCTCCAGCACCATAGGTCAAAGGCCTCAATTCTTTGGCGCTCAGCCTTTCTTATGGTCCAACTTTCACAGCCATACATTGCAACTGGGAAAACCATGGCCTGGACTATACGCACTTTTGTTGGCAGGGTGATGTCTATGCTTTTTAGAATGCTGTTTAGATTTGCCATAGCTTTCCTCCCCAGGAGCAAGCGTCTTTTAATTTCTTGGCTGCAGTCCCCATCTGAGGTGATCTTTGAGCCCAGAAAAATAAAATCTGTCACTACCTCCATTTCTTCTCCATCTATTTGCCAGGAATTGAGAGGGCCGGATGCCATGATTTTGGTTTTCTTAATGTTGAGTTTCAAGCCAACTTTTGCACTCTCCTTCTTCACCCGCATCAAGAGGCTCTTTAGTTCCTCTTCACTTTCTGCCATTAGAGTGGTATCATCTGCATATCTTAGGTTGTTGATATTTCTCCCGGCAATCTTAATTCCAACTTTTTTTCATCTAGCCCTGCCTTTCTCATGATGTGCTCTGCATATAAGTTAAATAGGCAGGGCGACAGTATACAGCCTTGCCAGACTCCTTTTCCAATTTTGAACCAATCAGTGGTTCCGTGTCCAGTTCTCACTGTTGCTTCTTGAGCCGCATATAGGTTTCTCAAGAGACAAATAAGATGGTCTGGTATTCCCATCTTTTTAAGAACTTGCCACAATTTGTTGTGATCCACACAGTCAAAGGCTGTGGAGCCTCTTTACCTTGTGGGCGCGGTTTCCTGGTGATGTGTCCGGCCCGTGGGCCAGCAGTTTGACACTCCTGCTCTAGAATATTCATTTACTACAAGTGAATGTCTGTGGAGATTCTCAATCATTCCAGGTCATTATTGTCCCGAAGATGCTTTTTCAAAAGGCAACTGGACTTTCTTGATTTTTTTTCATTGAAAACGTTTCACTTCTCATCCAAAAAGCTTATTCAGTTCTAACTGAATGGACTAACTTCTTTCTTTCCATTCCCATCATTCGGTTAGAATTGAAGAAACTTCTTGGATGAGAAGTGAAACATTTTCAAGGAAAAAAAACAAGAAAGTCCAGTTGCCTTTTGGAAAAGCACCTTTGGGACAACCACAACTGAATATTTTTATAATTCTAATCTAATCAATTTATGACAATCCTGTAATTTAACTTTGGAACCTTATTTAACTGTGAAATTCCAGAGATTATTTTCTAAAGCTCAAAAAATATTTTTCCTGTCTTTAACCAGGTTTAAAACATTTCTGAGGCACTGCCTGCCCAAACTGTTTCACTGAAAACTTTTTTTTTTCTACATGATCCCAGCCTAATGAAAACTATTTTATATACTTGAGTGCATTTACAGTAAGTTTTAGCAACATGATCACATACAAAAGAAACAGCATATACAAAGAAAATTAATATGACAGGGGAAAGAAATTAAACATTCTATAGACTTACTTATCAGAAGATGTTGACTCACTATCTGAATGGTCCTTATGATGAGTCTTTTTTTCATTTTCCTCCTGCAAATGTGATATAATTTAATACAATTGTTATAGTCTATCATAAATATACAATATACGTACAATGTGAAGTGCCTATAAATATTTCTGAGATAAACATATTCAATTATTCATGGATTAGCTTTCAGTGTAATTATTCTTTAAGATAATTATCTCTCTTTATAAGCTTACCGTTAATGTTTGTTCTTTAAAACATCAACTGTGATGTTATAAAGACTATAAAGAGATACATTACAATTCTATGTAATTATACACACACACAAGTCACTCAATCTTGCCAGGGCTGAGCCAAAGCCTGTTCTCCCTTTTCTAAATCCTCGTTGCCTCCAGTCATTGGGAAGCATCACCTCGTCAGCCCAGGGTGGAGATGTACAACTGATTATCATTAGCATACTGATGATACTGCAGTCCAAGCCAGTGGATGACTTCACTCAACAGTTTTGTGTAGAATTGGGGAGACTGTACCAAGTAAAGGCCTCAAGCTCAATCTCTCCCTTCTGACCAACAATGAGTGAACCCAAAGTCAAGGAGAGGAAACCACTGTAACATGGTAGCTGTGGTGGAATTGTACTGTAGTGAGTTACAGGGGAGAGGAGTGAAGAGACAAATCAGTACTGAATTGTTGGTATACAGGAAGAGACCCAGAAAAGTTCTTCTGTAAATTCTTCACAGCATTTGTCTGATAGATATGCAGAGTGTACTTTAATCTGACAAGATTCTTATTTATACGCAAACAGCAATAAAAAAACTGTTTTGAGCAATTTGTCCCGTTGTTCTTAGTTTCCCCATGCCATATAGTGCCTCCCACTCCTAATCCTTAGCTGGTCCAGAACGATATTATAGTCAAAGACCAGTGATAATCTCTTAAGCAAGGAGTGGGCAATTGCCTCCTTCAAGGCAGACAGAACTGTCCTCTTTTATAGAGAACCATTTACCACCACATAGGCTCAACCAACTGCTATCTCCCAGTAGACCTTAATCGACCAGAAAGAATGGGGACTTAAAACACAGGTGACCAAACTCACAGCTCCACTTCAATCAGAACAAGCAGATTCAAGTTCTTCCAAGCAATACCATACCTCAGGCAACTTCTTTGTACTACAGAGCTAAATTCCAACTTTAAGAAATCTGAGCAACTTTATCTGACAGGTGCCTAGAATAATCTTCAGCTCTGCAAAACTTCCTGGGACCCCCCCCCCCCTTACAAAGAAGGGACCAGGTCACTGTAAACGGGGTCACTGGCTGGCTCTCTATGGCTGCAATAAGGGCAGAAAATTAAATAGATTTTGTTGCCCTTATCAACCCAAGTAATCTTTAAGGAATTCTTACCTATGCTTGTTTGGATTCACTATTTGTTTTCCTCCAGTGGGTACCTCTTATGCCATTTCATCATCTGAACCACCTATGATAGTGATGGCGAACCTTTTAGAGACTGAGTGCCCAAAACCTGCCCCTGCCCCGCTCTGCTCCTGCCCTGCCCCCCACCCTGCCCGCCCGCAGGGCACTCACCACCTCACAGATCGCCCAAGCAGCTCAGCAGCACCATGCTGGCCATGCTCCACCCACGCCCCGCAGCATCAACTGCATGCAATGGGGCACGAGGGCGGAATCTTGTCCCCGCTGCCTGGTTGCCATGTCCTTGGCTGCACTGCTCCGTGCAGGCCATGCTCGGGGGTGACTCTCCTCCAGGGGGGCTGCTGGTGCGGGGCTGGAGCGACGGCACACGTGCCCACAGAGAGGGCTCTGAGTGCCGCCTCTGGCATGTGTGCCATAGGTTCACCACCACTGACCTATGAAAACCACAGAACCCTCCATAATCCATGAGCATAGAGAAGATGGACAGACATGATCTGGTCCAAGCCTAAGATTGCTCTCTCACTCCAGGAGACAACACAGACCTCAGCTGAACTGTGTACCAAAGCACAATCCTATGCTCCCTGTGAAACTGAATAGGGTCCATCAAATGCTTAAGGCACACTGTTTAAATAGATTTTGCCTCTGTTCAAAGAAGTGTATCACCAGAGAACCTTAGAGCCCGCAGGGAGCTATCACTACATGGCAAGGGACTGCTGGAAATATCCCCCAACTGCAAACCACATTGCCACAGCCCAAGGTAAAAACTAAGCCTAAAATAGGGCCTTCTCTGTAAGTTGAGCCAAAGATGATTGGCTGAGGTCCATCATTGCCATGAACTTTTTTTTTATTAAAAGTTTTTTATTTTTTCCATATAAACATTATAAAAAAAAGGTACAATACAATTTTGAAATAAAATAACCATTAATACGACCTGCCCACTCCCCCCAGGCCGCGTCCACCCTCTCTTAAAACATTCCCTACTTCCCTCCTCTTTCTCACCTCCCATCCTACTCTCTTCCCCTCCCCCTCTCCTCTCACTGCCCTACTTCCTCTCTACACTTTCTCACCTCTCATCCCTATCAAACCCATGAACGCAGCATAAGGGGAGTGCCCAGGCCGCACCCCTATAAGCAACCATTATCTATATTACACTTACCCCCCCCACACATTTCCTCCCTCCCACCCCCAACCCCCCTCCCTTCACTTCCCAGAGCAGAATACAGGGTTAATAATAAGAAAATTTGTAATAATAAGAAAAAAGAAAAGAAAAAAAGAAAAAAAAGAAAATATCATACTTAATTTTTAACTCCAATAACCTATAAGACAATTCTCTATAATATTTACTATAATATTCATTCATCAAATAAATGAAACTTTTTAGTTCCATACTTTTTCTGAATATAATCTATCCATCTTCTCCATACAGTAATATATCTTTCTTGTGTATGATCCTTTAAATAAGCAGAAATTTTTGCCATTTCTGCAAAACTAGATACTTTAAATACCCATTCTTCTAAAGTAGGCAAAGAATCTTTCTTCCAGTATAAACCTATTAATAACCTTGCAGCAGTTAATAAATTCAACATCAAAATAGTTTCTTTATCATTTAAGTCCACAAAGATACCCAATAAAAATAGTTGAGGAGTAAACTTTATCTTCCTTCTAAAAATCTTTTGAATGTTCCACCAAATCATAATCCAAAATGCCTTTACGTTTTACAATTCCACCAAATATGAAAATATGTCGCATCTTTATTACCACATCTCCAACATTTGGGCTGTATATTAGGATACATACAAGATAATTTTTTAGGATCTAAATGCCATCTATAAAACATTTTATAAAAATTTTCTCTCAAATTTTGAGCTTGTGTAAATTTAACGTTTCTTATCCAAATTGTCTCCCATAAATCCAATGAAATTGGTTCCTGTATATTTTGAGCCCATTTAATCATACAGTCTTTAACCAATTCTGTTTCCGAGTCTTACTCTAGTAGAACATTATAAATTCTTTTTATATGGGCCTGACTCTGATTTTTAATCTGAATAACCAATTGTTTATCTTCTAATGTTATTCCCGCTTTCTTATCTACAGTCCATCTATCCACTATTTGTAAATATTGAAACCATGACTGTAGAATATTTTCTTGCCTTAATACATCTAGGGATTTCAAATGCCAATTCAAACCAGACCAAATTAACAATTCTTTATACGAGATTTTAGCAAAATTTGTCCCCTTAGAAGTTCCCTCAATTGCATGTCTGGGAATCCCCCAGATAGGTATTTTATAATTTAATCTGTAATAATACTTTTTCCAAACACGAAGTAGGGCATTCCTCAAAATATGTGATTTAAAAGTCGATCAACTTTCTTATTAAAAATCAGGTATGCATGCCAACCATATATTAAATCCCAACCTTCCAAAAAAAAGTATCCTTATTTGTTAAATTAAGCCAATCCCTTAACCAAGTTAAGGCGGCTGCATCATAATATAATTTCAAGTTAGGTGCCTTAAGTCCTCCTCTTTCTCGAGCATCCTGTAAAATCTTAAACTTAACCCTTGGTTTCTTTCTGGCCCATATAAAATTGTTGATACCCTTTTGCCATTCATCCAAATTTGCCTCTTTTTTAAAAATAGGTATCATCTGAAACAGAAAAAGGAACTTTGGTAGAACATTCATTTTTACAGCTGAAATTCTCCCCAACAATGACAATTGCAATTTTTTCCAGTCTTTTAAGTCCTTTTGTACTTTTGCCCATAATGGTTCATAATTATTCTTATACAATTTTCCATCTGAAGCAGTTAAATATACTCCCAAATATTTGACCTTTTTTACCATCTGGAAACCTGTAGCTTTGACCAAACTTTCCCTATCCTTAACTGACATATTCTTAGATAGTATCTTAGTCTTATAATTGTTAACTTTAAAACCAGAGACTTCCCATACTGTGTTATAAGTTCTAATAAACAATCAATCGCTTGATTCGGTTGTTCCAAAATTAAAACCAAATCATCCGCAAATGCCCGCAATTTATACTCATTCTTCCTTATCTTTACGCCCTTGACTACCTTTGATTCTCGAATCTGAATCAATCAAATTTCCAACGTTAAAACAAATAACAATGGGGATAATGGGCATCCTTGTCTTGTCCCTTTTTCAATATTAAAATTCTCAGTCAATCCCACATTTACAACAATTTGTGCAGATTGTTGCTGATATATAGCTTTAAGTGCATGTAGAAAATTATCCCCAAAATTCATTTTCTCTACCAATGAAAATAAAAATTTCCAATCTAATTGATCAAAGGCTTTTTCAGCGTCCAAAAAGATAAAAGCCACAGGAATCTGATTATTCTTATCCAAATATTCAATTAAATTTATAATTTGTCTAACACTATATTTCATATATTGCGCTGTTATAAATCCTGCTTGGTCATTATGAATCAAGTCCTTCATAACCTGTATTAATCTGTTTGCCAAAATTTTTGTAAAAATCTTATAATCAACATTTAATAATGAAATTGGCCTATAATTCTTAGGCTCTGTAAGATCCTGATCTTCCTTCGGAATCAGTGATATGAAAGCTCTTTTCCAGGAAGGAACAAACAAAATACTATTAAAAAGTTCCTTTAATGGCTCCATC